TTTTAAGCACTGATTTTATTGGCACTACTAAGATACATACTGTTTATATGTAATATAAAAATATAATTGTTATAAAACAATGAGATTAAATATATATTTTCTTAAATATATATTTTCTTTTAATTTTTCTTAAAAAAACAATCGTGGAGGTAATATGAAAATACAAAACTTTCTTTAGATTAGGCGGGATTCCGACATTTGTCAAACATTTGCATTGCTTGTAGAGTTAAGCGCCCACTACATCGACAAAAATTCATGTGTAATGTGATTACTTGCTTATTTCATCTCATAGATTTATATACATTATAAAGACACTCTGAAGTTTGTTGATTATATTCCACGAATCTCGCCGACCTTAGATTTATTTGTACAGACATGCACAATATGCTTAAATGAACTCATATTTTTAAAAACATTTTTTTTAAATAAACGACTTGCTATAAAGCAATGTGGCAATGCCATAATGACAAATTTCCCCAACAGAGGGCGCTAAAACAATTTCAATGTGACCAAGTTAACTTTATAAAACAGAATTGCCAGTATCAAATTATGGATCGTTAAATTCAAAACAAAAAAACAATGTAGAAAATGGGTCGGATCGAAAAGGTCATTCGGGTAGTTTCAACGGTTCGAAGGCTATACAACGCAAATTACAAAAAAAATAATTGCATAAATCCTAATGACGACAACATTGTATGAAATTTGATATGGACAATCGAACTCCGCCACCACAATTGGTTTTGCCATTAACATTGAGGGCGAAGACTTGTTGGATTATCTCAACGATTGATGTGCGAAATACGTGACGTGATGGCTTTGTAGACATGGATGATTACCTGTTAATGATACTGGTCACAATACGTTCTCGATAAGAATTATACCCCAACAGGAGTTGTGATAAAATAGAACCAGCCCCTATATTCTGTAACTTTTCAACAACTTTACTCATTGTTTTTTTACCAAAAATAATTTTGCTTGTTTTGTTTTTGGTACAACAACAAAAGAAATTTTAACAATAACAAGAGTAGCTAAAAGTTAAGAAGTTGAAATGATATGCTTCCGAGATTTCTGCTGATGTGCTATTTTCATAACGACGAAGGATGGTCGATATCCGATTACTGTGTGATAGCTGGGGTGATACGTCAGCATCTTGCCTGACTGACAGAATCCTGGTCATCTCATGGAGAACACATCCTATTGCAACACGGAGTGCATTGTTCTGCGATATTTGCAAAATTGCTCCACTGAGTGTCACTAATAAATTGGGCTCAGACCGCAACAGCAACCAAGCTGATTTTGTGACTTTTAACCACAAATTCAAAAGTTAACAACGGCAGCAAAGACTTCCAGGTAGACATTCTGGCCTCAAAAAGTCTATATATATAGATAAACGACTGTAGTCAGGCGGCCCTAAAAGTACTATGAAATTATAAAATTATAGATTATTTTCTTTGTATAATTTTTAATTTGAGATTTGTCGCCTTTATTCATTTTCATTTCAGATTTTGTAGAACAAGAATTGAGCATTTATGCTTTTGCAAAATAACCAAGCTTTAGACCGTTGTTATTTTTATGTCAGTTTTCAATATTTGCCGAATGGAATATTGCGATATGTTCAGCTCAGTAGCCATGTTTCGGCCACAGAATCACGTTAACGAGCGTTGGTACGAGACACAAAAGATTTATTCACATTTAAATACTGGAGTGCTCTAACGATAGCCACTTATGGGTTTCAGACAAACATAAAGAATTCCATCACAAATAATTTTTTTTCTGGAAAATGCTCACCAAAATGCTTTTGTAGGCTTGTAGACAATATAATGAACTGTCACTGGAATAATTTTAACAGCTGTCGGACGAGTGGCTTACAAATGACAGCAGTCTGAAGTTGGTTGGTTGGTTTGTTTTTTCATCTCACCCTGTAACCATATGCTTTCGTTGCAGTACCTGCTTGTTATCGTGGGAGTCATCCAAACCATCATATGGTAGGTAAAACACTCCCGCTCAGGAAAGACAAACATTGTTTTAGAGAGGGAGGTCCAACGCTACAAGAAAGAGCCTCTAGATGGAGAAACCTATTAGGCAGGTCTGAGAGGCATTCATACCAACGCTACAAGAAAGAGCCTCTAGATGGAGAAACCTATTAGGCAGGTCTGAGAGGCATTCATACTGAAGTAGTCAGAGATGCCATTTAACAATTATATCATGAACCATAAGTCCACACATCATCCATTGCAGCTGAACCAGGTAGTTTTGGCGCAATTGCGTTCAGGATGGTGCAGTTGTCTCAATTCATTTTGGTTGCGAATTGTCGAAGATGTGCGCAGCGTCAGTCCGGCGTATTATACAGGCCCGCCCAATACGCTGCACCTTTTCAATTACCCGGCCAAACCTACCTCACTCAGTTCAGAAGACTTCTGTTTACAGACGACCAAAGTATTCGTATTTTGAACCTGGAGTTAGAACCAGATTACCAGAACACAAACACACCGTGTATAACTTTTACAACAACGAAAAAATATGATAACGATAATAGTTAATCAAAATGTAGTTTAAGATGGTCTGATGTTTTTGGTCAAAATTGAGACTGAAAAAGTGTTGAAATACAACGTATTAAAAATGCAATTGATTTAACACAAATCACCGGCGTAACCAGAAATACTTTTAGAAACAATTTTTTGGGGAACAACAGACACAAATGGCCTTTCTCGAGCATTACAGAGGGGCTCCAAGGTTGCCCCTCTTTACAACGTCGTTGACCCCAACATGATAAATTAAAACAAGGCAATAAATATGAATTTTGCAAATGTATTTTATTTTATGTTGTTTTAATATTACTTATACATATGTATATTTTTAATTTTAAATGCAGCGAGTTTATATGAAATTGTATAAGTAAACAAATGCCTTTTATTTGTGTGTATGTGTGTTTACACGTGTAACACATATGAAAATATACATATATAAAAATGCTATGATATATATCTTTTTGCATATATAACTTAAAACGAAATATAATAAATGTTTGTGTACATGTTTTACAACTACAATGAGGAGGAGAGGGGGAGGGGGGGGGTTGATTTTGGGGAAGAATGAACATTTATAAACAATTTATTCAATAAATATACATAAGTTGGGACAATACAATGAATGACGATGTCGCTGCATAGTAATTATACATATAAATATTTATTTTTGTTTTTTGTTTGTATTGAATTTACGTACATATTTAGGTACTGTATAGAAAAAAAAAAACACTGAGGATTGATTTTTTAAACAACTTGGCATTAGGAAAATCTTAGTATTTAAGACCTGTTTATGTATGTCGAATGAAAATGGGTTTCAACTTTTTGTAATTTTTTTAATATTTAAATACAATTTGAAAAATTGAACAATTTACATAGGGTTGGTATTTTTCTTTCGCATTAATTTTCTTTAGACATGCACAAACAGACCGTAAATATTATTTATGTTTTTGACAAAGTTTGAGGTATGCTCGGGTAGTGTAGTTATTAAAAAATATATTTTTTAGTGGATTGATTTTTTAAATAACTTGGCATAAGGAAAATCTTAGTATTTAAAGCCTGTTTATGTATGTCGAACGAAAATGGGTTTCAATTTTTTTTCAACTTTTTGAATTTTTTTTTTTAAATATTTAAATACAATTTCTTTCGCATTAATTTTCTTTAGACATACATAAACAGACATTTAATATTATTTATGTTATTGACAAAGTTTGAGGTATGCTCGGGCAGTGTAGTTATTAAAAAAATATATTTTTTAGTGGATTGATTTTTTAAATAACTTGGTATAAGGAAAATCTTAGTATTTAAAGCCTGTTTATGTATGTCGAACGAAAATGGGTTTCAATTTTTTTCAACTTCTTGAATTTTTTTTTAAATATTTAAATACAATTTCTTTCGCATTAATTTTCTTTAGACATACATAAACAGACCGTTAATATTATTTATGTTATTGACAAAGTTTGAGGTATGCTCGGGCAGTGTAGTTATTAAAAAAATATATTTTTTAGTGGATTGATTTTTTAAATAACTTGGTATAAGGAAAATCTTAGTATTTAAAGCCTGTTTATGTATGTCGAACGAAAATGGGTTTACATTTTTTTTTTTCAAGTTTTGTAATTTTTTAATATTTAAATACAATTTAAAAAATTGAACAATTTATATAGAATTGGTATTTTTCTTTCGCATTAATTTTCTTTAGACATATATAAACAGAAAGTTAATATTATTTATGTTTTTGACAAAGTTTGAGGTATGCTCGGGCAGTGTAGTTATTAAAAAAAATATATATATATATATCTTTTAGTGGATTGATTTAAATAACTTGGCATAAGGAAAATCTTAGTATTTCAGACCTGTTTATGAATGTAGAACGAAAATGGGTTTCAACTTTTGTAATTTTTTTAATATTTAAATAGAATTTGAAAAATTGAACAATTTACATAGAATTGGTATTTTTCTTTCGCATTAATTTTCTTTAGACGTACGTAAACAGACCGTAAATATTATTTATGTTATTGAAAAAGTTTGAGGTATGCTCGGGCAGTGTAGTTATTAAAAAAATATATTTTTTAGTGGATTGATTTTTTAAATAACATGGCATAAGGAAAATATTAGTATTTAAGACCTGTTTATGTATGTCGAATGAAAATGGGGTTCAACTTTTTGTAAGTTTTTTAATATTTAAATACAATTTGAAAAATTGAACAATTTACATAGAATTGGTATTATTCTTTCGCATTACTTTTCTTTTGACATACATAAACAGACCGTTAATGTTATTTATGTTTTTGACAAAGTTTGAGGTATGCTAGGGCAGTGTAGTTAGCAAAAAAAATATATATATTATTTTTTACTATTATTGTAGTCAACGGTTTCGTTGAGTATGGTTTTCTTGATATTAACTTCAACTCATTTTGAAACCAACTCCAAACACTGTATTTTTTCTTGAAAGAAATTTTAGTTTATGAATAAAAGTGGAGAAAGAAAAGAATTCATCATTCTTATTTCCCTCCAAAAAAAATTCTTTCAAGAAAATGTTTGGTATCCGGCTCAGGTATCAATAAAAACTATTTTGACTACACAAACGATTTATCTTAATTCTAATAGCTATATATAAATTAACGAAAAATATGCATAAATACGTACAAAAATATATGATATAGAATATATAAAAGAATAATGAACACTTTTTGTTGTTGTTGCTTTTGTTTTGTTATATATAACAACTTTTGAAATGCATTAAGGAATTGTATTTGTTGAACGCTAGTGTCTCGGCTATTGTTTTATCATTGTTTTTGTTGTTATGTTTTTTTACTCTAAGGTAACACATTTCTAAAACTACTATTTCTTAAATAATATTTGAACTTATTTAACACGGATCATAAACAAACAAAAAAAAAATAATAAATAAATATTTAACTTTTACAACGGCTCTTGTTGAAAGTATTCATGATCTAGACAGGCCAATGCTGAGGGTCGTAAACGTAAATCATACGACAGCATTTGCTGCAAAAAATATAGAAAAACATGATTACAGATTAGCAAAGGTTTTAAATATATACGTTCATATGAATTTTAAAATATTTAATTTTATTACAAAGCTCTTGTTGCATACATTACAAACATTAGATGAGATTTAAAGACGACGCCGGAAGGCTGACAAAGTTCTTTAAAAGATGGCTGCCAAACTACGCTGTGCGACAAAATTCAACTGTTTCCTAAATGACAGGAAAAACTATAACATGAGCTCTAAATATAAGACAATCGTTTTGAAACCGTGCATCGGAAATTAAAAAAAAATGGGGCGGGAAAATTCGAGTTAAGATGAAAATAGTCAAGTTAAGATTCCTTAGAACCTATGCATTTTATGTACATTGAGTTTTTAACAATATTACAGGCAATGAAATCAAATTAATCCTCAAAGGAGTCGGTTGGGCATTAGATCAAAATATTCTACAGAATTGTCCGTCATAAAATTCGACAAAATATTTTTGAATAAACCAAAACCAGCCTAAAAATGTTTAATGTAAATATTTCAGTCAAAATTCGAAGCAACTCTATCTATTATGGGTCACGGGAGTCAGAAGCGTAATAAAAATCACTGCCGTCGTTTTGACAATGGTTATTTTAGGTTAAAGGATGCACAGTTGTTTTAAGACAACTGCTCTACTTGAAGATCTGCTGGTCCATTATGTATATCCTAATTTGAAACGAAACAGAAGAGAGAAGTAGAGAAATTACAAGTAAAAATATTAAGTTCTGCGCGTGACGTACTTTTAATACTCTTCATCATTGACTAAAGAAAACATTTCAATCTGAGTGCAAACGTTTTCCACTTTAAACTACAAATACCAGTAAGACCGTTGGATAATGCCGTTTAAATGAAAAATAGGAAACATCCATCCATTAAAACATCCATTGCAATGTTTAAGATAAATATACTAAAAACCAAAAAATAATAAAATATAGATACAGTCGTGGGAATTATAAACATATGCATAGACTTGACTAAAATAAAACCGAGGGGCACTTCAATTGCATATATTGTAGAGAATTGACAGAATTACAGATGCAATTTCTAACTTTAAATCTTCTTATTATACGCCATTTAGTGGCTGCGCCATCTTAAATATTGAACTTGTATTTGGATTTCAATTTTTTTATATTATATTGTATTCTGTTTTTTGAGCCCTTTCATTTGATACCCATATTGATGGGATTGATAAAACCTACGTTATCCGCCATTTTGTAGCGGCCGCCATCTTGGATTTATAATGATAATGAATAAACATAATTGTATTGTATTGTATATATATATATATATATATATATATATATATATATATATATATATATATATATATATATATATATTATTGTTAATGAAATTCTAATGCTAAAACGTGAACTTAGGGTTCTGGGTTCGAGCTGACACTCTTACCTTCCCAAAATGCTAGAATATGTGGTAGTACCTTTTTCGGGTTAAGAGATATGGGTCTTTCCACCAGCATAACCCGATTCTAACCAGTTCATTAATATATCGGGTAAGTGGATCCGGATCTCCATAATATGGAGAGGTACCGTTATGGGGGGGAGGCTATACAAAAGCGTGGACCTATACATACAATATTTCGCTAGCGAAGGTAAAACCCATTATGACTTAAAAATAGCAATTTTTAGACAAATCCGTGAAAAATATGGCGAAAATAACCGAATATTGGGAGGTACCGTTATATGGCGGCCATCGAATGTGACCCCTACTACTTTTGGGAATTTAGAACACGTTATGAATAGTTTGGAATTATTAGCGGATGTTTTAATATGCCTAATAATGTAGAAAGCGTTTAGATCGACTAAGAGGCGGTTCGACCGATCATAAATTTTGTCAATGGTTCCGTAAGTCATGAACGAACAATCAAAATGTTTAAAGCCCTCCTTGAACTACTTGAATTCATTAAGCTATCGGAGAATTGATGGCTGATGAATTAACTTGAGGAGGATCCCAGACGATTAGACTGTCAAACCACCGACAACCTATTATGTCAGTTATTTCAAAAAGTTTCTCATTGATAATGATGGTAGAAGATGGCAATTGGAAACCGGTTGCAAGGTAGAAGTGCCAATTACCTTCTATTAATTAGCAGGACTGAGCAAAGAATTGCGGAAGACTGGTCACAGTAGTTTATGATATCTATCCTCAAAGTGGGATAACAGTGGTCTTGACTACTGTAGACTATGTGAAGATGAAAAAGAGGTAGAGACAATTGAACAGGTGCTATGCAACGTCCCATGCGTTCAAACAGGAGACATGGGATATTTGCTAGGGTGGAGATATAAACCAGAACGTTCATCTCAGGCATAAATCCCATCATCATCTAAGAGTAAGGTAAATGAATCCCCTGGCTAGGTAAGTCACCCTCTTTGGGGAACTCCCTGTCTCACTTTACGGATATGCGACTTCTTCTGTTTGAATTCCATGTACGACTAGCGTCCACACATGAAGTTGACGGCCCACCGTTTTAAACATGGCCGAAGGGTAGTAGTATGCTCAACGTCCTAAACAGTATACGTGGTTGACGTTATTAAAAGCTTTTCATAAATCAAGAGCCAACATAAATGTTCTATCGCACTACCTATTCTTGGTCAGTGAGTCAATATGTGTTGAAATGTCGTGAAAAAGAGTAAGAGTGCTGTCTTGCTTATATAAGCTGGGGCTTGGTTGCCGTAAAGCTCTCTCTGCTCCTGGAGAGGGGTATTGCCTCAACCATATCCGCTTCTGGCGGAAACGCTGAAATTAGCCCTAGCCAAGTAAGTCCAATCTACCAATCTTTAAGATAGATTACTTCCAACTTTGCATAGTTCTTCCGACTGAAAAAAATGTTCGCTCCAAAAATCCTAATATTTTCGCAGTCAACAAATTTGCGAAAGAACGAAAACTACTATAGTACTATAGTTCCAAACTATTCACTACTGTTGAACAAATACTTACTGCCAGTAGATCATTTGCATATTCGCACAGGTTTGGACATAAATCCCTTGGTTGTTTGGGATGCCGCGCGGGAAAATGTTCTCGTGATAAGGAGATGGTTCTTGGCCACTGTTGAGCTGTTGGCCGGCCAGTTAATCTGGAAACAAACGATAGAAAATTTTTTAAAATACATGAATTAAATATCGATTACATATTTATTCAAATTTAAATGTTTTGTGCAAACTATACTATGGTTTTTAAATTTACAATCTAAATAGTCACAGCTTTAATAATTAATATAAATATTTATAATTAAGATGGACCTCTCTTCATTGCGGCTATCTTAAGAAATATATTAAACTGTAGTTTGTACAATAAGTAAATAACAAAATACTACACCCGATATACACAGATGTATTTACTCACTCAAATATCCGATCCAGTTGATTTGCTTCTGATGTGCCGGGGAACAGAGCTTTACGTGAGAACATTTCCGCAATGATACATGCCGAACTCCAGATATCAACGGAACTATTATATGTTTGGGCCAACAGGACTTCGGGAGCACGATACCACAGTGTAACGACCACCGATGTTAGTTTCATTTCAAAATCATAGGTTTTGGCCAAACCGAAATCGGCAATTTTCAAATGTCCCTGGGAGGAAATTAAAAGATTTTGTGGTTTCAAATCACGATGTATGATACGATGTGAGTGAAGGAAATCAACACCGGTTAGCAGTTCACGCGAAAGACGCTGAAATGGCAAAAGAGGGGAAGATATTAAAAGAGATAATGATAATTGATAATGAGAGCTACTTACTTGTATTGTGGTGGGTGGCATTCCAGATTTGGGTAGACGCTCTATTAAATCCGAGAGATCTTGTTCTAAATGTTCAAATACCAGCAGAACCATTAACTGGCCTTCACGTTCCAGGAACTGGCATACCTCGAAGAGTCTAAAAATAAGAATTTTCAGATTGATTGTTTAATATCATGAATTATTATCAAATATTATTGTTATTGAAATCCTAATGCTAAAACGTGAACTTAGATCCGCTTCCGAAAGTCTGGGTTCGAGCTGACACTCTTACCTTTCCAAAATGCTACAATATGTGGCATTCGGTTTGACAGATATGGGTCTTTTCAACAGCATAACCCGATTCTAACCAGTTAATTAATATATCGGGTAAGTGGATCCCGGTCTAGTCGGGGCCTTGAACCGGGACTTTCGGGTAAAAAATCTGGGGTCCCGGGTCCGTCCCCCAAGAAAAAAATAGATTCCCGGGATCAGGGTGAAAAAAATTGGAAAAAATCGAAGATTTTTTACTAAACTAGAGATAAGCCGAGACCTAGTGTCTAAAACCAATATTTCGACTATGCACGTTTTGACCGTATCAAATGATATATAACCTCTCTAGCCATATGGCTAAGGGTATAGTTACTACTTTCAAGAGTTTAATTCTTATTTCTTTTATTTACCACTTGCCTTTTAACAAATGAAAAGATGGTGCCCAATTTACAATTGCTGCTGGCTTTCAGCAGCCACTCTTAAGAAGCGTTGACTCCCAACATTAAATCCGATAAGAGAAACCGACATTTGAGTGAAAATAAAATAAATACACACACGTTGATCAATTGAGCCAAGTTGAAGAGAGAATAACAAATAGTGAGCGAACGAGTTGAAACACACACCAAAAAGAAGAGCAATGCAAAAAAGAGGGGCAAACTTGTTTACTCTCAAGAGTATTTGATCTCCAAGTGAGGAAAAGAGACAAATAATTACCAATTGTGGCCTTCATAATGAAATGGGGGCAATAAGAAGAACAAGACAATGTGTGTAGCTGTGTTAGTGTGCAAATTCTCCCCTTTGATTTTTCTTCGAAAATAATATAAATAAACAATGAACGGCATTGTGTTGTGTATGTGGTTGGCTGGCTGGCCAATTGTTTTGCTTCGTTGTCGTCGTTAACGACAGAAAGAGGGGCAGCGGCAAGTGTTGGAGACGAGTAAACAATAAATTAATAACCCATACATGGACAAACAGCTGATTGTTCATATGATTCCATAACGAAGGCAAGCGGCCGGCCGGCCGGCAGGCAGGAAAAGCAGACAGATATTTTATTATTGCTGCTACGATTGTTGCTTTTGCTGCTGTCATTGAATGAGTATGGGCATGCTGTTGGTATGCTGCTATGCAAAATGTAGAGAACAGACTGATTATTGTCTTGACTTTTGTTATTAAATAAATAAATAAACAACAATGTTGCGGATTTTTTTTACAACCAGGTACAATGTAGGTATTATTTGCAAACAATTTCTTGCTGATAACATCAAATTGTTGAATATTTTGGATGGGGAAGGTATTATGGGGTAATAATACCCGAAGAAGGGGTAATTTGTTTTTGTTTCCGGGAAATTGATTGTATACTAAGTAAAATGGCAATTCTTTAGATGTCTTCCTGCCTGGTAATGGAACTAAATTAATTTCAATTACTAAGAAACGTCTAATTATTTTTAATTTTTGTCCTAGGTCATCTGAGTAAACAATTGTACGGCACTTTAGTTTCTTGAGTAATTTATCTTTCACCTACCATCCCATCTAACCACCACCACACACTCGCTTGCTTGTTACTTAAAAAAGTGTTGAGTATCGCACTGGTGGCTGTGGTGCCTAGAAATCAATTTTTGTTTTTCTTTGATTAGAGAACACCACCTATACTTGTGTTTCTTGTACTCGCCCATAATATACACCACACCAAATTTGGACAATTCTCCTACCGAAAATTCAAAAAACATTGTTTTACGCTAATCCACACATACACTCACTCAATGAATACATTAAGCAATACTCTTCTTCAAAAAGTAAGAAACAACACGACAATAAAAAAAAAACATTCAAGAAAACCCCAAAATGAGGAGCGTCTAATTGCAAAATAACTCTCAGCAAGTGGGTTTTTGGCTTTGCAAATTCTATTGCCGCCATTCCCTCCGCGCCAAACCACACTCGGCTGTTGCAGACGACGTTCACAAAAAGTACCGAGAGGAAAGGCTCCAATTGTATTGTACGGCTGCTTTTGCACAAACAATCTAGCAGTATGTGAAGTAAGACGAAAAAGCAATCGCTGCAGCGTGACTTATCAGCATTTACGGCGCCGTTGTGCCGTCTATATTGGATTTGTAGTCACAAGGGTTAGAAACAATAACAACAAACAGCATACGTTTAGCAAGAACAGTTACTTGGAAACCAAGAAACTGCACTTTGGTGTTGTCTATGTTGGAGCCAGTAGCAATTTAACAGCTCCGCCGGCTAGATGTGCCATCTTAGCCATAAATAACAGCGAATATGCAGACAACAAATTAATTCTTTTTAGAATTTTAAAGGGAAAGAGACGAAGCCCAAGAAATCTCCCTCTCTCTCTCTCTCTCTTTCTTCCTACCACTACATTCGTAACGGTTATTGTTGGATGACGCATGGAGTTACTGCGTCATCAACAGCCGTTAAAATAAAAAGTAGCTACTTCAAGTAAAAATGTTCATCGTCATCCTCAAACTTACCTTCAACAACAACTACATATCCATTGTAATGCAAGTGGCCTGGCAAGTATTGTTGTACTGTCTCCCCGTTCTGAATGAAGAATCAACTGGCAAAAGAATCTCAGAAGGTATTGCTTTGCAAACTTTCTTAGAATTTCATAATTACCCAAGTCTCTCTCTATTTCCCTAACACTTGTTCTCGTCTCTCGTCTGCCCTTCAAACTTGTTGTTTACATTCTCATGAGTTATATGTGCATGAGTGTCAGTAATGCATGCGGTTAAATAGCCCCAACACTTACACAACAGCCGTTGCATAAATGTTTCCGTTTGGAAGTTGCGCATGCGTTTTTCATATTCATTCAAACTTGATACGTCAATTATCATTAATTTTAATTACAGACTAGATGGGTACAAGAACAAGATGTGTTCTTCTTCTGAAAAAAAGAGAAAGTGTTTTTTCCACAGAGTATAATGACTCATAGCACAATTTTCGTGGAAAGAAAAAACAATGGGCTTCTTCAAATACAAAAATATGGTAAAATAAGCAAAAAGGTTTCGGAGGGCACAAGGAAATCGGCAATTTTATTTGATAACAAGGGCAAATCAATTGGGAAAATAAAAACACTTCTTCAAATACAAAATATATACATAAGTGCAAAATTGCATCCCATTTAGGCTAATATTATTTAGTGCACAATAAAAGGCTTTGATATATTTCCCCAAAAATCTTTGTTACAGAGTGCATATTACTGCTGTGGAGGACAAAAATAACAAATCGGATAAACAACATATATATGGGAGCCACAGCTATATTTGAATCGATTTCGATCAAATTTAGCTTAATTTCAGGCTTAATTTGGTCATATGTGCAAAATTCCATTCCGATTTTCTCCAATTTCAATAGGGTTCCTCCTTGGATCAAACAAATGATTTGTGCAAAATGTCATCTTTATCGGGCAATAAATGCGTACTTTATATAATATAAATTCTGTACTTTGTTTACACAAATATATAGACAGAGGGACATGCATAAATCGACTCAGAATGTGATTCTATGCAGATCATCAAAAGGAACTATGGGTCTATCTGGTTTCCTTTTGCCTGTTACAAACAAATGCATAAAGACATAACACCCTGACCACCTTCTGGTGTAGGAGGAAAGGCAGCAAGGTGATGGAATCAAAGAGTCCGAATCATTTCGTATGACGTTAGTCCAATATACAGCACAACGTATACTGTGTCCCGATTTGAATATAAAAACATATTTCAAAACACAATGTTGCCATAGGCACAAAAAACATATCTCATACATGGGTGTTTAACAAGACAACGATCCAAAATTAACCTCCCTGTATGTAAAAGTTTGATCACTGGAAAATAAACTAAACGCTCAAAGAAAGCAAAATAAGCATCCAACTCACACATACAAATACTTTTTCTAATACAAAATCTGTTGTAAAGATGATATATATCTGCAAAGGCCTTCTTTTATCTCACCTACAAAGGGTTAAAATTTTCTATACATTTATCTGTCATACTTTGTGAAACAAGTCAGCAATTCTTTACAAATAAATATTTCTCTCAACCAGAAACCTGGGATGAATATGGAATTTATGATTTCGCATAAAAGTGGATATGAATGTTTGTTTTTCTTGTAATTTTGTTTACTTTTATACTTTAAAATTTTTAAAACATAAATTTGAATCTTAAAAGAGCCATTTTACAAACTACTATACTTTATATATACACTGGTGGCCAAAACTAAAGCAACTGAAATTACAAGGGGAATGAATGCCCTCTAACTTTTTTAAAAAACAAGAAAATTAGAAAGTTTTTCTAGTTTTAAATTAGACACTTTTTAAAAACTTAAAACGAAAAACCAAAATTAATTTTTATATAAAAATTATTGTATGGTAAAGAAAATTAACCCGATTTTGGCTTGGACAAAACTAAAGCAACTCTGTTTATTTTCATATGATCGCTGCAATTTCAGCTGTTTTTACTGTTATATATATCGCTTTTTGCTTCCTTCAAAAATTTCGCTTGTCATAAATAATTTTTGGAGAAGTTTTTTTTTACAACAGTACGTGTTTCTTTTCGTTTTTAAGTACCTTCCAAAAAGTTAAAAAATGACTAGAAGCAAATACATACATTACAAATACATCAAGCTATCGCAGAAAATTATTTCCGAGAAATATTTCATAAATATTTCTGCGATTTCTCGTATACTATGTCGGTTTTATGAAACTGGGTCAGTAGTAACAGTCTATAACGGATGAAGGCCGTGGAAAACTTCAGTCCGTACTGATCAACACATTGTGAGAGAAATAAAAAACAATCATTTAAGAGTTCAACTGATGAGGTGAGAGAGCTATATAAGCTGGAGATCAGTGCGTAGGCGAGTAGTGGCAGCTGGTCTGCA